ATATACAGTAATAATACAGAGACGTATGCCTGTTTTATGAGTGTGTGTGTATGAGTGACACCAATAAAGGCAAGTTAATAGTTTTAGGTATAGTGACCGTTGTGTTATTTCTTCATTTCCCATTCATTCTTTACATTTCCACTGTTACTAGTTTACTAATATTAACACTGCTGATACTGTTGCAACCACTATGACTAGCAATTATTTCACGTTTACCTATTATGCGTATTTTAAAAAAGCGGATGTGCATCATGACATCAGCCATGTTCTTTCCTTGATACAAACAGGAATAAGTGAGAGGGGAATACAAACAGCTAAGTTAAATAAAATTTAGTGACTTCTTAAATCATATGACTTTTTAGTAGTTTTAAGTTTAATATGATTTAGTTTTATTGGAGGGCTTTTGTACTTGTAACAATGATGATATTGTTCACTGTTACTTTTTTCAAAACACTGTTGCATATTTGGAAACAGCGGATAAGCTGATTAGTCAGTTCATTGTTTCTTTAACCAAATTCTAGTTTGTCTTTATTTTCATAAGAATTCGTCGTCTAGGTGTGCATTTGTATTTGCGGTTATTTTAAGGGCTTATGGTGTGGTGGATACTACTTATAAGAATATAGACAAGGAATACACTATCATGTCTTCTCAGAAGTTAACAGAGCTGACATTCAACTGGTAAATATTCTTAGCCGATAAATTAGAAGTATTAAAAGTGAATACAGAAGAAAAGCCGAGAAGGGATGGAAACTGGAGGACAACCTATTTGTCATGCACAGGGCAGATATTATTTGCATTTACTGGGTTAAATGTTATTCTTAACATTTTGTTCTCATTTTCTTTCAATATGTCTAATGAATAATTCCGTATGCTGTCACTGGTTGTAACAAAGATAATTATGTCTTTGATGTAGTGCGTGCAAACCAGCTGAGGGGTTATTTGTGTCTAACTTTTTTCTGAGAAGCAGAAAACTTAAACGTATGGTAATTTCTTCTTACTTAATTTCATTCGAACTCATGACACTAGTTTTTTGGAACATGCAGACAGATATATTTTCTTTCTATTGTATACTGTATAAAAGCTAAAAATATGTATGATCTTTTAATAATAGAGCATTTCACTTTTTCAAAGCAACGCGTCCCTGGTATACGGAGTCACGTATAGTATTTCTACTCAGCTTGTCAAGATCAACGATTTTTCAGGATAAGAAAATAATCAGTCAATGAGTTTTCGTATTTATACAAGTTTGAGTGTTATCCAGTTCTAAGTGCTGGTCAAGTTATGGCAGTCAAATTTGTGATGTGCATGAAGCCTAAATCCAACGTTTTACAGTGATTGTTTGCGAACGGTCAAAAGGAGATGGAGAATGTCATGAAAACATTTTTTCTAACATGCGTTTTAAATTTTATGCTTTCCATATTAGTTTGTTCAGTTCGTACATAATTCAGTTTGGAAAACGTAGAGTAATAATCTGATAATCAGATTTTTCAGAGGTCATTTCAACCATTCTAAAGATTGAAGTACGCTTCTGGAAACTGTGTCAATCAACTCTTAAAAAAAGATGACCAAATATTAATTCACATCTATGAATATGAAATGGTTATTGCTATGTTTCAGTGTATGTCATTGGAGGTAACTGAATTAAGTGTGGTTTCATGATTTTAATTAGGAGTGAAATGGAAGCTATACGTATGTCAGTTTACTATTCATCTCACGTCATGACCATTGAATGAACTGTTTGTTAGCCTAAAATTAAGTGACATTATCGTTATAAAATGTGATAATAATAAAAATTATGGTTAGTAGTCAGTGGCTTTTTCTAATTTAATATGTTTAAGAATATTGCATAGAGCACTAAGATATTTTAAGCAAAACTGTTTTATGGTGAACTGGCAGGATCACGAACCAATAAATTATAGAGTGAGTGGTTTAAACACTGTTGTCTCTTTCATGTCAGATTCACCAAATAGCTCACTAAATTAGTAAACAAACTTCATGGTGCTCAATCTCAGCGTTTGAAGAAGAAGAATTTGTCTTGCTGTGAGTCACTGAATGATTTGAAAAATAAATATCACTAAAGATGGCTATCATGAGCCGAAAAAAGGGAAAAATGCAGTCGTCGTTTGATGAACAGAGATATTCTTTTGACTTCTTGAAGAATTTGCTCTACAACTGTTGGTTTCTAAAAATGAATTTCTTTTAGAAATTAGAATGATTGTAGGTATCACATTTTTTAAAATGTTTTGATTACAGCTTGATTACACACCGTATTTTTTGGTACAGGTAAGGAATTTTCAGCATGGATATCGGTAGCCCGAATTTTGCAGGCCGACCATAGATTTCAGGTGTGCGTCGGCAGGGGATCAAACCCCGGACCATGTGCATGGTCGGCGAAAGTCCTAACCACTGCGCCACCGATGCTTGATATCAATCAGAGAACCATTGATAACCAGGGAGTATTGGACAGCTCTTTTGTTCCGGTTTGGGACTCATCACTGGTACGCACGCACTTCTGTTAGAACCCTGAGCTTTCCGTCTTCAAGTAAAGCTTGTAGTCTATTCAGCCACTGGGACTCGACTTAATAACCCATGAATTCTGACTTCTGTCAATTCGTGATTTTAGTGCGACCACCAGCCAATATCGTCGACAAGTATTCGTCCTCAATCCCGACTGGATGAATTCCACTGTCCATGACTTCTCACTAGGTCTCCAGGTAACTTCGTCCTGTGACACTTAGCTTGTTAGTACTGTAGTTGATAGGCAGCTGAACTCATGTGAGAAATGGTCCAAATCCACATTGTCTAACCCTCAACACCTCCTCCGTTAGCAACTCTCCCCTTGCGTCTCATCAGGTAGGACCAGAAATCATCAAGAAAGATTACATGCTCGTACAACCAATTACAGGAACTCAACAATACTATATTTTGTCCGTATCCTATGTGACAGAAGTAATGTCAGGCACGAAACCTTCGACTTACTATTTGTATTCTATAGCGACACTATTTCAAATAACTTGTAATCTTAGCTATTGACACAATTTCACACTTTTTGAGCATTTTTGACTTTATCGCCACTGTCAATACCAAAAACAGCTGCTATTATCAATCCTGCAATAATATTTTTTATTTTTGCTTTTGCTATTGTTAAGTAAATTAGATTCAATATTGCACCAAATGTTAAGAATTCTACACGGTATGATAATCACTGTTTGGGAATAGAGCAAATGATTATTATTTTCTTGAAAAATATTTTGGGTCATATTGGAGTATGACAATCTGGCACTAAGGGTTATCAGGCTTGAATATTTTGGACGTTTTACAAAATCATTTTTTTACGATAAAAAAATTTGAATTGGGGAAAGAATAGAAAGATTCCGTGTTACTCTATCAGATTAATAAACAAGTTTATCTTCGAACACTCAGTCGAGAAGACAACAATGGTTTCAACCTATATATCAGGTGAGTTTCGCCCACGTGTTAAATCAAGTTCCAGTCATCGAATGCTAAAATGTTAGGTATTGGTTATCAGATATTTCAGAATCAGAGGATAAACAAACTCTGTTCACTCTATTTGTTATTTATTTTTAGTGAATTATTTTTCATCCTATCTTTTTCATTAAAATCTACTGAGTACGGGTAGGTATATAAAGTTGGGAAGTATATCAAATACACACCCTAAAATGTCCTAGATGTTAAATGAACAATCACAGTCAGTATAAAAACAATGTCTTATTGGTAAATATTTAAATTTGACAATTCATTCGACCTTTGTCACTTCATGTTGAAATTCAAATAACTTAAATGAGCGCCAAATTTTGTGTAGAGAGAACTTTAGACTTCAAATAGTGTTTCTGTATATACATGGGAATTTCTCCTTTTGAAAGAAATGTTGGAAGCTTTGTGTCGGTTAAACCAAAATGAGAATGCGAAACACTTAACAGTGAGTTGGTATCTGTTTGTGTACTTGCATAATTCATTAAAAATTATCACGTGTGAAATGTCTGTATGTTTTTCATTAGTAGTGTGAATAAGCAACCGTTTCAATAGAGTAGAATAAGTGTTTATAAAAGTTTTGTTGGAAAAAAATAAGAAATAGTGAACAAAAGTTATTTATTAACCAAGGCGTTAATTATTTTAAAATTCGCTGTCATTTCTTCGTCATACATAGCTTTAGTTCAGGTAATATATTCGTAACACCAAGTAGAACGGCTGGTTTATATGCATAAAGTATGCTTCATCCACCATAGATGTTCAAGGTTTATAAGTTCACTACTTCAGCAACTCGATTTATATACGAATTATCAGTTACTCTCCATACCGCTTTTATGATTACTTCACACTATGTGAACTGTGATACTGAAGCAGTGGTTGTGTTTATTGGGATCTTCTACATATTTAACCTTTGTGGTAAGCGTTTCGGAAATAAACTTATCCCATCCCTCTGTATCCTACTGATTGCAAAGTTCACTAGCGATCCAAAGTATTCCAACTTTCTAGACAGTAGATTCAACCTTACCTCCTATTATTCATCCCTAATTTACAGAAATTCCCAGGTTGTTCGGTGAACTTTGAACAAGCATGCTAATTTCCACAGGGTAATTTAAATCAATGAAATGTCTGTGTGTACATCTGACCTTGGTTTTTGACAACAGTTTTAAACATAAGTAAAAAATAAGCGCCAACGGATAGGTGTTTAAATGAGCAATTTTCAATACATAGAGACTGATCAGCCTTTGCGTAATTACAGAGAAAGTCACGAATACTATACAAATTTTTTTCTAATTTTCGACAAACAATAAATGTGTGGTCTACCGAGGACAGTGTAATGAATACATACAAAATGGTGATTACACAAACTTGCATTTGGTGTGCAGTGGTTAGTTAAATATACATTAATTTGAATGAAATGATAGGGAAGGTGGAACATGTGTTTATGTCATAAATCGTTTATTGACTAGCAAATCAGAACAATTTGAAAAAAAATCCAATGAGTGACACATGCATAGTATAAACAAATGTAATTCAAAAACAATATACGTAAACCACCAAGATTATGAACTACACATAAAAACAGTCAGTAAAACGGAGCACAGACTAATGGAATGTGTAAAATATGTGCAGATATATGGGGTCAGTATCATTTAAACACAAAATCCAGTTGCCAAAACGCATTCTACGAGTGATTTTATTACATTTAACCAAATAGTACTCCGTTATTTTCTCGATTTTCATCAGAACCACTATGGCTACTGCTGACGATGAGAAGACATAAACGGATTTTTGAAATGGTGATGAAAATATCATAAAATTAGGCAAATGTGGAAGTGTATTCACTGTTCTTTTTTATATGAATGTCGCGTGAATTGTTTAAAAATTTTTAAAATAATTTTACTTAATTAAGCAATTCTTTTCATCATCAGCATCCATCGATACCTCCCAAGAAGGAAACCAGTCTTAACCTACACACCACGCAAAGAAATAGTGATGCTTCAAGGAAAACAGTGTGAGGATTTACTGCCCATCATCACTACGATATCCCTTGTATTATTCATTGGTTGTGTGGTTACACGCTTCTACGTCGACCAAATTCACACAGCTTTAATTGCACGCGTAAGTTATTGATCTATTTCATGTTAATTTTGTGAGCGAAATAACTATATAAGTAATTTTCGAACAGGTCATCAGCCGACACAGTTTGCACTGATCAACTGATCACCCCTTTTAAAACCATCCGGATAGATTAAATCAATTCATCTGAAACCGAAATTGGGGGAGCACTGAAACTTTTCCACATTTTATTTTCATAAAACCATGGAATATTTAAACATGAATGCTTGAACGGGTGATTTTGGGAAACCTCTTAACGATAGTGAATCCTGAGGAACTATTGTCCGCCAAAAACGATTGAAAATTTGAACATTCAAACTCCCTTAATGGAGTAAATATATATGCACATGGTGGTTAATCACTTACGACAGAATTTGCTTGAGTTGAGGAGATACGAGACTATCCTTTCTATGTTCATGACGACGATTCTGAAATTGAACGGAAAATTTTATTGACGTTTCATCAGTAAATAAGAGGATATTCGACCATTTAATTCTCAATGGCCAAACACTCTCAGGTGAAAACGTCCTCAACACACAGCTCTTTACATAACATAAAATTGACGATCTCTTTATTGAAATATTAATGAAAGCTATGCATTGTGTTTTCGCCTCTTGTTTCCTTTCTAGTTCTTCACCCTCGTCCCTGACAGTCTTGTGTTTGAAAGTTTCAGCGGAAACGATACAGCACTTAACACATCACTTTACCTTTACAACTTAACCAACGAGCACGCCGTTCTCAATGGCGCCAAACCAGTTTTCACGGAAGTTGGACCGTTTCGTTATAAGTGAGCTATTCCATTATTCTTATCAAACTATATCAATTGATACACACTTTACTGATTTGAGCTAGTAACTTGGTTATTATTAGTGCGGACGCTCTCTAATGATTCTTTGTGTGCTAAGATATCTATCGGTCGAGTGCCTGAGATATTTTCTAAGTTGGAAATAGGAGTAGGAGTAAGAGGGGACTATAGTGAAGAGTGGTTCTCTGGAACTGTTTCGCAAACAGTTTGTCAGTCTCCAGTTTTGTCATTGTTTTATATCTGGGATGGAATTAAACCTTCTAGATACATCGTATAGAAAGAGCATAAAACACATCTTTGACATATTAATTTTAACACAGCCATTGGCTGTAGGGTGTTAAGTGTTGTCAGATTAAACAGCACACCAATGACCTACATTGATAATAACTAGTTCTTTCAATAAGAGAATACTGTTTCTCAGTTGTTGCGTTTGTGAGTATTTGATTGATTTGAAAATGAACTATTTTATGTACTAATGTCAATTAGAGAACCACTGGAATCATAGAAAAACTCGCTTGCTGTTTTCTTTTTGTTTTTCGTTTGCACAGTGCACTCACGTCTTTAAAGAGTATGGAACGTTGTATTGTCAGGTTCTGGTGTGAAGACATTGCCATTCATTAAATCTATCAGAATCTCATGGCAGTTGAATAATAAACTCTATTTAAATGGAGTCGATATTTTGCAACCATGACCTCTAGGTGTTATAAGGAACGTTGGTAGATGTATACTTATCTATGTTAATAGGTATCGACAGTTTTATATTTTGAAGTGACATAAGTTTTTTACATTAGGTGTTCAATTCTTATCTAATTACTGCATTATAACTTTATCAAGACAGTGGCTTCAACCATCAGTGAATAGTCGCAAATAACGACAAAACCTTTATTCCCGGTTTTTATGTCTTCTCTAAATAGAATTACTATATTACTAAATGTGCTCTGCATTTAATTATTCATTGATGAAAACAATAAAATTGCTTGTGAGTGTTCAGCTGTTCTTATTTACCCACCTTATTATGTCATGCACTCATGGTGTACACTATTGTTACCATAGTCTAATGTCGCAGTACTTTTGCAAAATTTAAAAATGAGAACCTGTTCGATGCAACACGAAATCTTTCACGGTAGAAGCATCACAGTACAATGATTGTGGGTAGCGCTAGTGGATCTTTTCCCAAGTGAACAGATAAAGCAAATGAACAACCGGATTTTAGAGGAGGCATCGCCTACACACCGACACGTTTCGTTCTATGATATCACAAATGTATGAAAGCAAGAATATAATTAGATTAACACTGAACCATTATCATCCAGGCCAAACACATTTTCTTTCAGAATTTTTGGCTTTTAAAGTCCAATTTCTCCTCATGCTACTTTTCATTCATAAACTACACGCCTCTTAGTTGTGTGAAAATTCAAATACTTATGTTTCCAGGAATTCTATAGCTAAAAATTGACAAAGATGAACTAAGGATTCGTGAAACTCTGTAAAGCATCTTCTTGTTGCTTTGCAGGTATTCAGTTGTATTCATCAGTAACCGCAAAATCTGTGACATGTAATGAAAATGTTATTATTTATGAAACAATATTTGTTTACACTGTCCATTCACATTTTGATTACTGACGACTGTCAATAATTTGACTCGTAATTAATAGAAGATAGACAAGGCAGCAGTCATGATTATCGGCTGAGTAGAGTATTTAGCAATGGCTAGTTGAAAACAAACGTTTAACATTTAAAATCATTACGTCTTACTGATTTATACTTCTATGATATCGAAATCTGTCAGCTAAATTTTTCAAACACGTTTATTAGCTGTGCTGGTTCGATAGAAATAACCTTTTATCATCCAATTGTATTTCTTAAATATAATAATGAATTGAACAGGAAGCAAACATTTAAGAGTGATGTGAAATTTTCTGATGAATCACCTCCAAGATATCTTCAATACAAAGCCACTACGTACTATTTTCAAGTTCACGATGAAATGTCTGCGGACCCATTTGTCGGCAAAGTAACTTCTTTGGATCTTTTTACCGCAGTAAGTAATGAAATATTCTCATATCTTACAATTTGCAATTCTCAGTAATTTCTCTGATACAAATACAGGATGAATTACCAATCCAGTAATCAATTTTTTCGATGCGCTTGCAACAGGAGTGTAATTTGTTCACCGAACATAACAGTGTATCGCTATTTATCTGTAGTCACTTCACCTTAGAATAAAGTGGATTTCCAGATGATATATGCTCGTTAGGTTTTTTACTGATTTACTCCACTTACAAATAGACGTTTGAAAGAAAAGCTGAAACACGACCTTTCAATATAGTAAACATTTAGCAATAATTTTCGAAAGATTTTGGTTATGTTCTGTGACGAACCTACTTATCAACAGAAATCCGTGTCGAAACATAAGACAATAATTCTAGGATAATAATTTTGGAGGCTATGAAGTTGATGTCTGTAATAAACCGAGAGTCCAAATATTGGTCAGGGTTTGATATTTCAGGTATGACTGTCACTCTTCAACATAGATTCGCTCACTTATCATATATTGATCAAAGTACATTCAAAAGCCTGTTTTATTCTGGGATTTTCTGTTAAGAATACTAAAATCATCCTGTCATATATCTGTTTGCAGGCCATGACGTTAAAAAGTAATGCTATTACACAATTTGTCGACGCTGCCCCATTTATTACACGACCGCCTTACGAAATAATTTGGGGCTACTCATACGGTCTTATAAAAGCATGTGGTCTCATGAGCATCTGTCCGAATTCAAAAATATCCGTTTTTGTTACTGTAAGTTATATTAATGACATCTATCGTGTTTAAATTATGCAACAAGTTGGTATTATACTTTTCTATATTGTGTAAAATGTTTGAATGCTTAAAAGATATAAGAAAATTCACTAAAAAAGCTTCAGCGTAGTAAATATTGTGCTGATCAAAATCTATAGTTTGTTATTGGGAGTGGACAAACAATGAGCCATCAATATTGGGACACAACTTCAATGTATGAAAAATGCATGTTTCGTTAATCAAACAAATAGCCATTACAAAATTATGTTTATGCCTGTGGAGACTAAATTGATTAGAGTGATAAATCTCCATATTTAGTAGCTTTTAGTTTGAGAACAAGCAAATGTGGAGCTAATATAACATCTGAGTCAATTCTATTAATATTATTAACAAAGTGATACGAAGGGTTTATGACAGCAGCAGTGGCTAGCATTTTAGCCTAGATAGAACGTTTTGTTCCACTGAGTGCATTTCACATTTGGATGTTTACATAGTAAAAAGAAAAAAAATCACTGGTTTCCCGTGTACCTCTAAGTATTTAAATTATATTTTACAACTGGGTTTGGAATGATCCACAGAATCTAACTTTCGTAAACTGAAAATACACCCTGAATTTTCGTGTTGTTCACTAACAAATATTCTAGGAAAACATATTTTCATAAACGTCAGTCTTCGCACGTCGTAACACTAATGTGGATTTTCCAACCTGCTGAAAAATAGGATTAGGTAAATCGTTTGCGCCGTACGAGGTAAAATCAGAGTCAGTAGATATAAATAAATATGAAAATGGATCATATAGAAATTACATGTCAAAGCCAGTGAACTGCATTAATTCAATTTAAGCATTTTAACCAAACTCCGAAAAATCTATGATTAACGAAATTAAAAAGTGATGACACGCTAAGCTGTACGGTCAAGAATACAACTTATACAAACCTTTGTCCAGTGTACTCGAATCAGTTATAATATGGACGCAGTTGATTGCTGCGTGTGAATAGCTGCTCAAACGAACTGAAGGATATTAATGATAACAAAGACTAGCAAGGATATTGATTACTATGAAAGCATACGGATGTAAGCACCAAGTTGTTTAACAAAAGCTAGCTGAAGCTAGCGGAGGGTTGAAATGAAGCAGTCAATGCTTGCCAAGGCAATAATAGGCTTGTATTGGTCGCTTTCTGAACACTAAATTCAGGGTTCACTCCTCCGAAATCGCCACCTCTAGTAATTTGGGTACTCGTGTGGCATCTTGTCTGTTTATCACGTTGAAAGATACTTGCAAATTGATCTGGTGCATTGCGTCACCTAGGTGCATTATTAAATCAGGCTGAAACTCTAATACGCGGATATCATGGCAGGATTCCAATAATCCCAGTAGACAACCACCTCTCAGTTCTTCATTGTGTACTTCATGACGCACGAACAGTTGAATTCATAAAGGCAGTTGGAGTTACCAAGAGTTAGAAATCAGTCGACTTTGGAGACCGAACAAGCTTGTGAATACTTTTGTCTTTATTTTGGTGCTGAAAGATATCATACACGTGTTTCTTTTGAACAAAGGCAGAGATTCACCGAAATGGTGATTACTGTTCAGTCAGAGTATATGCTTCGTCAGTGATGATGAACCACCTGTATTGATAAATAAGTCATTGAAAGGATCACCTACCTTCACTAAGACAAAGTTAAAACACAGATATTTAAGCCAGCAAACTGCAAGATTCAAAAAGATAAAATTCAGTGAGACGCTAATTTGCACAGTCTACTCTAACTATTGTACAGTGTTTCAAAATCACTATCACAGGTTGCAAAATCTGATCTCCGTGATCTCTTCACAAACACCTACATTCGAAGGATGTTTAGACGGAACTGAAGTATCTAAACTTCTGACACACAGTAAGTTGACCAGTGAGTTAAGGAAACATTTTCTGAAATTCCACATATTTCACAATCTGGTGTTAGTAAATAGTTGGAAGAATGGCTATGATAATAACAGCAGTAATAATAGTAATAATAATGGTAGTCTTTGTGGTAATAAAAATAAGCCCCGTCATGGCATTCAGTCTTGTGCATTCTCTAATCAGCCGGGCAATTTTGACTTGGAAATGAACTGCAACCTCACGTCTTGGCGAATTCGAAGAAACACTAGGATACAGCATACAATTTGTTCCTAGTGTCAAAGTACAAATGAGTGTTCAAGGTATTCAGTAGACAAGTGTTTTGCTACCACCATCAAATTAAATACTCTCTCTTCGACACAAAGTCTTCTTGTTAAGTCACTGTTATTTGAATATCCTGTGGAAAGAAGTGAGTGAGATATTGACTGTATATTGGTGTGTGATTGTTAGAAAATGCTTTTCTCCACGATATCCTGACCAGCGTTTTTTTTGTGTTTTAACATTCAGGAGAATGGGACATCAGAGAATGAGTTTGTTATTAAAACTGGAGTCGATGATATTAATGAGCTTGGAAAGGTGGTGAAATTCAATGGCCAAAGGTAACAATTTCCAAAAGCAATAATTTCAAGCTAAATGAGTTATTATTCATTATTCAAGTGATTCATCCTATTCAGTAACAACAGTCACGACGATAGCTTCACTCGACATTTTGTAGAAAGGAACAGGGGAACGCACATATGTGAATAATGACCGTATCAGGTTGTGAAATGAATGTATCCTGTGTTATGGCTGAGATATTGGTGACTAAAAGCAAAGAGACCTTCATCGTCAGTGACTGGGAGATGTTTGACGAGCAGAATGACTGTTGTTCTTCTTGCATGAGGCGAACAAATCACTTCATGATTACACTGACCGATAATGGGGAAAGCAGATGGAATAGCTAATTAGAATAAAGAAATGCATTAGAGGGAAGAAACTAGAAGTTCAGAGAGGACAGATTTGCATTCAACCCAGTTCGTACACATAATTTCCATTACTCTTATGCTTGGCTTTTGTTGCTGTCTATTTCCATATTTATTATCTCTTTGTCGACAGCATTAAACGTTTCTATGTCATCATCACCTCTTACCTCTCCAGATAACTTGCAGAGTACAATGCATGTGTATTCTTAATATTCACAGCCATCGAGTATAAGCACACTGTTGTTAGTTGTTGAGGAATAGGTGCAGTATTCTTTGTGCTGGAGTGAGGAATTGGAAGAGAGTGATAGGGAAACCACTTGCAGGGATTTCACATCTCAAGCAGAATTTGAAAATAAGAGAGGCGTTATGAAAGGAAAGACCTGGATGACACTTAGTGTGAGATAGGAGGTTGTTGAGTAAATAAGCGCGTCTGCGTTGTGTAATAAGTGTCTGCTATTTGACCAGTTGAAACTCGAGACTGATCTATGACACGAAAGACATCATTTGTGTTCATCGGAAAAATGGAGTGTGCAGACTGTAGTTGAGTGTAATCGTATCGGACCACTTTGATAACTGCCACACAACATCGAAGCAGCATTATCCTCCAAACAATACTCTGAATTCTTTACGTTGCCCCGGTTCATGTTGCGTGTGTGTGTTTGTGTGTGCGTGTTGGTGTATGTGTTGCTAGAAATCGTGAAACACAAACTAAATTTCTTCTTTTCATTTCTTTTGCAGTGTTCTCAATGTATGGAAAAGTGAATATGCGAACTATATTAATGGTAGTGGTAAGCAAATAAAGTGGATTAATGACATCTATTGATTTTGGTAATATGATGAACTAATGAATGTGAATCACAAATTGGAAATCAAGTTACTTTGACATGTTGATATTGTAAACACGTGTTATTTCTGTGACTCCAGCTCAAGATGGTATTTGGTTTTCCTTACAGATGGATTTTCCCTGGGGCCAGGACTCACTGTCGGTTCGCAAAGATATTTATTTGCCCATGGCGCTTGTCGTTCTGTAATGATGGAGGCTATGAAAGAAGTACCCCACCCCGCCTATCCTGAATTGAAGGTTAGAGGACTAGTTGATTTCTTTAAAATTGGGGAGCATAGATGTTACTTTATTTCATGACATTGGTGATAGACATCATTCTTTCTTATTTATTAGTCATACTACGATATGGAGAATAAATTTCTCTACTGTTTCTTAGTAACTCATTTCAAAAGACCATTTATGAAATCTTTGAAACGAGGAAGGTATTGCACGCGAGGTAATATGGGGTCATTGCAAAAAAATGCTTTCACTTCACACAAATACATATATATATATATACCTATATATATACTAATATGTATGTACATAGTTTTCATCAGATACCACTGCAACTATACTGATCTAGTTCTAGATATGTGTATGCGCCTTTTTGACCTGAAGTATGACTGAGTCCTTGAAGGGTTAACACCACTTACCATCAATTCACTGATTTGATGGATACGAAGAGTGTTCACCGGGTTACTTTTAGATGGGTGGTAGTGCCGTGTGAGAAATGTACTTCAGTAGCCTGAATGAGCCGGTGGAACTTGAATGTTGATTTCATTTATTTTCTTCCCTCCATCATGGACGCCACACTGCTACTAGCCTTTTATGAGTGCGATTGAAGCCGATACTCATTCTGCTCTCATTCTCTCAAAAATATTTCACTGCATACATCGACTAAACGACAACCATTGCAGAACCACCTCTTTGATACTAGTTTTCATTCTTCGGTCGTATGATGGGCATTTCGTTGATATACGTTGAGTCTGGCAATATATAGTCTGCAAGCACGTTGAGGATCGATCACTTCACTATCTTCTATCACTTAATGTGTTCTAGTGAGCCGTGTTTAAGAGATCTTCATTTTTCAATTATTCCCAGGGAGTAATGAGGTCTATCCCTCTCTTCCCATATGTATGTGTACACATATATCTCTATGTATGTATGACTCACGGACTTGGCTGGCGTCCCACCAAAAGACTTTCCCACAGGCTACAGACTGTGATCAAAAGCTGACTTTACTTCATACTGATAATCACATGAACAGCGAAGATTGGCAACAAGGAACTCCGTGAACGAACCAACCAAGAACCTATTTCAGGAGAAAGCAGTTGAAGTAGTTTCCAAATCACTTCACAGTCAAACCTGTCGAGGGTCTCTTCAAAGTCGACGTAGTTGATGTAGAGATTTGAATGCTGTTTCACGCCCTGTTCAGTGATGATACGAAGAGTCTGCCCTTCCTGAATCCAGCTTATCTCAGGTGGAGGTTTGCATACAGAACATCTTTTAGAGCCTGCAGGATGATACAGTCGAATATTTTAATTGGTGTGGACACGAGCCTGATTCGAACCCGGATCTTGCAGAGGCTTAAGTCGCCCTTCTTCCAGCCAGCAGATATCTTTCGTTTCATCCAAACCTTCTGCAATAGTTGAGTGAGCATATCCTCTGAGGTCTCTGGATCCATTTTCATTGCCTCATGAAGAATGCCGTCTGCTCGTGATGCCTTTCGAGCTTTCAGTAACTTCAGAGCGTTCAGGATTTCTGCTTTTGTATGAGGTTTGGTGTTCACTGATGATTGCTGCTGGTGGTATTTCTGAGCGAGTTGTGGGTGATGGCCGACTCACCAGTCTTTTGAATTGGTCGGTCCATTGCTTCCTTTGTTTCTTATGGTTAGTGATTAGTCTGCTTTCACAATCTTCCATCCGTGTCATCTGTGTTGATCACTTTCCTGATAGTGAACTGGTTACCAGGCATGGTGACATGACGTCTCTCTTACGTGCACCTTGTTCCGCATCCATTCCCAGTGTGTCGTGGAATTATCTTTTGTCGCCACTAACATTCATCCTCACTTCTTTGTTGTAGACTGTAGACTGAATTCAGCTTCTCTTTTCGCTGTTCATCTTTACGCTGGCTCATCTTCTGTTCCATCATCCCTGTGTCCTGTAGTAGCTTTTATTAGTCTCTATAGAGCCATTTCTTGTTTCTCCACTTCTTTTTGCCTTAGGCGGCGGCTATACAGGTTTTGCTCAACATAACCTCTACAGAATTCCAGTGTCTCATTGGGCAGGTTTCCTCGCAGATGTTGCATAATGTCTCCAAATTTTCCCATATGCCCATAATAGATGTGTACCTTGTAGTTCCGTCCATAACACTAGTAAGAAAGAATGTAAGGCGCCTAGAGTTTTGCCATACAAGAAAGCGACATATGAAACCCCACTTCGGAGTTTTGGTAAACTGGGAATCGGGGTGGCATGTGAATATACTCATTCCATTCTCATTCTCTCACACATCTGTCAATGGATCCATGAACTAAACAACAACATCTACAGAACTACCTTTTCTTTAATGGCTTTCACTTGTTTGCTGCACAATGAGGGTTTTGTTAATATATGGTGAGTATAGCGACAGTTAATCTGTAAGAAGGTTGAGAGTCGACCACTTAAATGTATTGTATCACTTGGTAGGTTTCAGTGGGTAGATTTGAGGAGGACGTTATATTCCAGTTATTTCCAGCGAGAGTAGAAGTCTCCATTGTCTTGCAGAATGGATATCCTCAGGACTCATCAATACAGTAGGTTGTTGGGATAAGCATTCCACCTGATAGAGTGTTCTCTAAATATACTTCCTCATATTCACAAATTCGTAGGGGTCAATATATTACCTGGTCATTTATTAGAGATCAGGTAATGTTCAGTCACTTGAATCAAATTCTATGTGCGATTGCTATGTCTACTGCATTGATCTGTTTCCAGAATGTGGAGAATGTGACCCAGCAATCATTGACATATTAGATATGTCAATGGAAATACCGCAGATCACATTTACACAAACACAATTTAGCGTAGTGTTCACTAGGCCTCAAAGTTGGTTGTGCATGCATATTGAGTTCTTTAGAGTGTAGAACTGAGCTAGTGAATAATCGCGGTTGACGATAACTCGGGACACCTCGGTGCTCAAAAGTTAGGACTTCACGTGTTACTGACATCAGCACGATGGAAATTATCTTCAGAATCCTAATAAATCTCACTTCCTGTCAAATAATTTTCACAGGTGTTATTGTTCGAACCGGCTTCAGAAGATAAAATGGACCACAGTGTTTATCCATCACCACAAGAGTTTTGCCAAGGTCAGAGTTACGAACCGAAGTGCGCTCCTAAAGGCTTCGTGGCATTATCTCCCTGTTTGAAAAACAACAGCTATCTACCAATTTACGGTTCACAAGGACATTTCATCGGTGCCGACCACAGCATTCGCAATCGATTTCATGGGATTCCAGAACCAGATTACAATCTGGACAGAACATATATGCTGGTAGATCCTGTAAGTTGGAAGTTTGGTTACAATGTATTGAAGGTGGTGGTTGTAAGTTTGGTAGTCGGTATATCGCTACTCCACCCATATGTATTGTGTAATAAATAAATTAGAATTCGAGCTGGCCACTTCTGACACGTTCACATTGACTAACAATATCCTATAACTAGAAATGGCTAGTCATTGTTGCTCGTGTTTGAAACACTCAGAACTCACAAATACCTTCCTCCACTCAGTCGAATCACGCTCAACTGGAGTTGTTATTTACGAAATAGCCATTTCACATGCTGTAGACCGCCATTAACTCAGCGACAATATCAACTCACTGTGAGTATCAGCCAGAGGACATAAGGTTGTGGCAGCATGTGCATGAATTGTTTGCATTTGGCGCTATCGTGAGGAGAAAACCGGTTTAGAGAGCATCAATAATTCCATTTGTGTCCTGTGTGACATTAGCGTGAAACATATATTCGGCTCCACACGAGCAAGTGAAATGGCACATGCATGTTGAAGTGGACCAATGTGACGGCTTGTCTTTCATGTGCTGGTTAAACAGTTTCTTGCAGGAGAATATTACTCGTAGGCTGGCGGCGAAGAATGTTTTACTGAGAGACTTCGAAAGCCGTCTACGAAGAAGTCCAGCTTCGGCATCACTTTTAAATTCAACTTCAATTGTCAGCATCATTTTGGGGGCGACCTGGACCATTTTAGGCCTTTTCTTTGGTTTCAGATTCTGGTTGGGAGTCCATTTTCTATCAATGTCCATCGGAGATTTAGCAATTCTTCGTCACTCGACTCCTCAGTGCACATCTTCCGGATCCTCGAGGAAAGAGAGTATATTAGGTTCCTCTTTCTGCTTAGAGGCACACAACTTTGAAAGTTGATAAACTGTCCGTTCCATGTGTGCCTTTTGTAGATGGATCTTCTTAGCGAGTTGTCAGCATCCCTTCGCAGTTGAACATCTGGGAAATGAAACATTGAGTCAGTCGTTGGAGGTGCATCATAGTAGCAGCTCTTGTAGGCAATGGGCCAGTATCCCAACACCGATGCTATTGGATTGAATGAAGTCACAAAGGGAACCTGCGGTTTCTGTTGTTGGAAGGCTGGTGAAGATAGAGACGATGTGCAAGGAGATCATTTTCATATCTACCAGGTTGACACTCTAAATTGTGTCACGGAGGTTGTGTCTTGACAGCTTTAATTCCACTGGCCCAAGAATATGTATATGCAAGTAAGTGAGTTGGTTTCTAGCTTCAGATGACTTAAATACACATTCGAATGCTTTGTGTAGGTCACTTTTCACACCGACAACTGATTGTTCTATTTGTCGTCGTAACTTTCCTCATAAACAGCACTATACAGAGAATTTTCGTTTAGATAATGCAACTACTGGGAATGCTTCAGAACTAAGTGTTCTCCATGATTGTGTACAATTTAGTCTTTCAGACATTCACTAACCGAATATTAAGAACTTGTATATTCATGAACTTCGGTTATAACTACAGGTGACGGGAATCACGTTGGGGGCTCACCAAGTTCTGCAGTTAAATTACTACATAGACAATCCAAGTCTGAAGTAAGTCAGTGGGTTTTGCTTTTTCTGTTTTTCAGAATATTCTTGCACATTCATATGTAGTGAGAAGGTGTGCGTCTAATTAGCGAATAAGAAAGTAGTTACACTGTACACTTGAGCTGTGTGCACGTCCAGTTAATAAGGTCGAATATTTTACAAATCTGTGGAAATCATACTCAGAAGTGACGAGGGAGTCCTTGATTGCATTTGTGCATTTACACGATTGAACCAGTGAACGATAGAGCACACGACTGCCAGTTATTGAGTCCAGATTCAACTGCGTCGATGTGTTTTTCAATGAGGTAGCCGAAGTGTAAAAATAGACGCTGTGTGTTCAGTAGTGTTTGTTCTCTGAAATAATTGTTAGATCAGCTGTGATTACAGTGTAGTACAGCTGAGAGATTCCAAGTACGTCGGCTGTTAATTTAGAATGAAATGATTTCCGTCGTTAGATGTATTTTTAGCGCATGAGAACGTTTTCCAAGACTTTTAGGATTTCCATTTAATACAAAGTTTGCAGTACCCGAGTAGACATATTTATTTTCAAGCAGGACGACCCGATATCCGCTGGAGAAATACGTAATGTGATATAATTTCCTTTTGGTATAACGAAGTCTTTACAACCAACAGGTATTACGCATTAGAACCTTGTTTATAAATGTTGCCTAGAACGGCTCTGTCCACAGAATGATCCTATAAAATGCAAAGAGTTTGAGCGTAGTTCTTAGGTAATATCTTCATGGATTCATACAGAGTTGTGGAGCTTTGCTCGATCACTTGGTTCACCAGTGAAGCCACGAAACTTTTTATACGATGGTGGAGGCGATTATATATTTTCATTGTATGTGTGCATATCAATGTGATCTGTTTGCATGAGCATCCTATCAACAGACGTCTTTGAACTTTCGGACTTCCTCAATAACTGTGAATCAGAATATCCTAATTGGTATTCATTGCTCTCTTCCTGCTCCGCTGTTGACTCCATTCTTTCCCAGTGGCACAAGGAGTTCCAGTAGATTCACGACATCGCAGTTCCTCGCATCCTTATGATGTGCTTCCCTTCACGTCACTTTAGGGCGTCCAACACATCCCCATGCATTGGGGTTTCACTTAAGCACCTGACATACGATCTCATTTGAATATCTCCGCAAGTCCAATTCACTTTCCAATATGGCGAGAAATACCTACGGATGTTTAAATATTCAACCAAACCTCAGTCCATTAATAAACATACCTTATTATTATTACGATTTCTGGAGGGCATTTCCTCACACGAGAAATGCTGATAACTTTTACATCCTCTCCAACTTTTGGACTTTAATGTGTCACCTATTTTTCTAGAATGGCTTTACTCGAGTTAGTAACATGCTCTAGTATCGAGTTAGTATCGCGGAGAGTTTTGTAACAAAGAACTCCGAAGACGAAACGGCCAATTAACCCTTCTATTTATTTACGTCTTTCAGAAGCTTACCATATCAAAATATGGCTGGAAACCTGTTCTTTCCGATTATGAGAATTGTAATGGTAAGCGTTATTTAACTGTTTCATAATTAGTTTAAATCGAGACTCAAGTGAAACAAGTATGCAAAAAGAATGAGAATGATATGCGTTAGTCAGAATTTGTAGTTCCTTTTATGATACTCGTACATTTAGTATCACTCCTTTGGGACACCTAGTAAAGAGAAGACGTCGGTGTCTTTGTGAAGGTAACACATTCAAAGATGTATCAAAAATGTAGCAAGAGATTTTCATAAGGTGGCCTATTTGAAAAAAATTGCGAACTGGCGATAACCATGCGGGTGTTCTCGTTAGGTCGTGATTCGTTCAGCATCTATGCTTTCGTGCGGTGGTTGCTTGGAGGTTGCGCGAAAACCAAGGTAGAACGCTTGCAATCGCTAACTATCCCACTGATCTACAGCAAATGTGATATAGTGAAGGGATTTATAGAGAACCTAAGTAGGGAAATCACCTTCCACAAAATGTGCCAGCAGTTGTTTGGAAAACGACGAACGTGTAGGTGAGTGAATACATAGATGAAAAGCTGTAGTTAAGAACTGAAAAATCCATCCAATTACACAATCATAATAGTGCATCTCAGTTCATGCTATCCGCTTGTTCAAAAGTCTGCAACCATCACCAGCTATTATTTTCACCGGTCTCATTTTCCAGGATGTCAGTGCGGATGTAGATGCCTTGAAAACAATACACACTCTGGTTCACGGCAGCAAATACTGGATCAATATTGCAATCTACATATTCGGTGGATTGTGTTTGGTCGCATTCTTCGCTACGATGGCCATAATACTCAAAATGAATCGGTATGTTTGAAATATTTCAGCGCTTTCCCTTGCTAGGAATTTTCAGTGGTGAATTCTTACGAACGAATGACCAGGTTTCAGATGTTCTTTGTGCTTGTGGACATCCTACTGAATAACTTCGGTGACCGCACATACTACATTCTCCCGTCTACACGATGAATCGTGTGTACATGGCTTTTGACTGTCATTGTGTGTCAGGAACCATTCTTGTACCTCAAACGCCTTTCTGTCATACAGATAGAAAGAGATAAGCTATTAATCGTGTCGCTCAACCGCCCTCAAACAGACATAACATCTGTCAAAATCTGTGGGATAGTGAAAGTGATTCGGTCGTTTTGTTGGCCAGATTACTTATGGAATATGTTTATAGAATTTAAAGTCGAATTCACCTACCAGTCTGATTGGCGAACCACAGGTAGAATGTGAACTGGACCGATACTTGGGCAAGAAATGAATGAGACCATGCTGCTGAAGTGAGCTTTGAACCACGCTTGTTTCTACGTCACCTCAATCACCTGTCTGACTAGTAGGAATTATGGTTGTGTAAGACCTACGAAGAATTTAGGGCAAGGAACCTGTGACATGTTTCTTCACTCACTGTCTACATTCTCTCCACAGAAGTGGAAGCGTAATAAATGTCAGGGTGTTGTATGGGAGGATTCTGTGTACACTGTTTGATGTCAGAAGCCTCAGAGGGCTTCCTTAAATCAACATGTTTCGTTTGCGTCGCAGCGACGAGCAGTGTTTCAGAGTTCTGTCGGAAAACCGAAATTTACTCCAAAAATGCACATGACATCATATGTCCGAGTAACTTTCATCGTCACTCGTGATGTCTGGACAGTCTTTTGCCAAGCACACTTATACCAGTCGACATATAGGTGCCACAAAATACGAAGCATTAAGTTGTGAAGCGTATCTGGGAGTATATTGAATCGTGAGTGATAATGATCATGTGCACATATTCATGGTATGAATCCAAGCAAGACTTCTGCGTAAAATCAGTTGACTTGACTAATTTAAGGCAGTTAAACGTTTTCCTCCAACTGCGGTGATAATGTTTCTGACAGAGTCAAACCCTTTTTTCCTGTTTCCCAATATTCGTCTAGGTGAACAGAAGATTACAGATGGTGGTATCATGCTTGATGATGTCAGAGGGCTGATTCAGTTTTACACAGAAAAGTGAATAGAAAGACAGAATGTGACTTGAGTGCGGTGAATTTGTGACTTGTCATATCCCGTGTTTCATGTAGTGGTAGTTATTGCCAGCAATAATTTGGGAGGATTTGTTCGCATCTAGTCTTAACAATGAGCGATTCTGCAATGAATGCGAATAATTTCCAACTTCATGATGAGTCGGCGAGAACAAACACAACTGGGAAACTCTCTCAGTCTGATCGAAAAACACCAGTTTGCTTCCTCTGGAAACTAAATTCACCACACACGAATTCTGTCCAATATGTGTGGGTTTCCCTAACCATCGAATGACTACTATAAAAAGGGTTACGAGCAATGAAGTACGGAGAAGTGAAATCTGAGTTTGTGCATACTTCGAAAAAAGTCGTAAATTGACACTTCACTATTTGAAGCACAAACATTTTCGTCGATCACTTTCCGATCTCATTGTACTAACTCAGGATTATTTTGGATTTTCGTTTTCCCAATGGGCTAGTATATTTCATTACTATTCGTAGAGAACAACTACAGTCATATATTCCAAAGGCTAGTGTCAGAAGCACACTCTAATTAACTCCTCAACATTAGGAATAGATCATTTTCGTACACTTGATGATTAATATCAAATACTCACAATTGTAATTGTTTTTCCTCTGATCAATTTAGGAATCGCTCGTGATACTGGCTGTTATCTGTCAAAGATTTGAAATCCAATATGTGGGAATCGTGAAGAAGCGGAATAATTATGTAAATGACTGATGTGTGATATTAGAAATTTGTTCACAATGTGTTTGCAATGATTTATATATAACATTATAAATATGTTCACAAATATAGAGTATGTAATAATTGAGCTTTCCAATATACTTCAGAGTATTCGGTGTATAGGGTTGTATTTACCACAGCTAAGGTGGTTATGTATTTACATTCTTCAGCTTAATTCATTTTGACAACTGTTAGAATAATTCCTTGCAGCATTCCGCAATGGGTATTTCATGACAACGGACTGTCTTTTACATAGCACTTCTCATTGATTTATTAGTCGTGAAGCTTATACTGAAATGAATCATTTTTGACATGCAGGATGGAATATTTTGGAAGTCTTTCAGCATCGCATTTAAATGACTGAAATTCGCCCAACATTAAATGTGATTCGCTGTAAGGTTACGATTATTTATTTTTTAAATCTTTACAAAATTTGAGTTAGCTTTTTGTGATGGACTTTACTCATAATATTTCGTTTTTTCAAAATCGTCCACACTCTGTCACCGACTGAGCTCTATTGTGTACAACTTGCTAGTTTAAAGTCTCATTGTCATTGGAACTAACTCTATGCGCTTCAGTGGCACTAACACAGATTGTATCTTTTCACATGCCTGTTCCAGCATTTATGGGGAAGCAAATGACAGAAATCATGCCCTAGTAGATTGATACAGATAAATAGCACAGTTTATTTTTAAATTGCCTAATTTAGCCATAATTTCGGTCAGGAATACAAAACATAAAATAATTAAACATGCTAGCGGTAAGGAGATATGACTGGAGTTCCTGATTGCTAGGAGTTTGATCTCAAAAGAGACCAGAAATGTGTTATACAGATTGTATTACTTAAGTGCGAAATAATTGTGGAAATTCAAAACGATATGCCAGAAACCGAGATAATAACATTGTGCGTAAGAGTATACATTTTTTATTATAGCTTGATTCCACACCATATTTTTGGTACAAGTATGGAATTTTCAGCATGTGATATCGGTAACCCAAATTTTGCAGGCCGACCATTGATATCAGGTAATCGTTGGCAGGAAATTGAACCCCGGACCATGTCCATGGTCGCTGAGAGTGCTAACCATTGTGCCACCGACGCACATGTTAGAACAGTAGGGAAAAATAGCAACGTAATGGCACATAAAGCGGAAAAGGGCAATGACTGAAGGTAAGTCATAGAATCTTCCTGTGCGTATAATTTAGGTCGATAGAAAGCCTCTGCTTCTGCATAATACAGAAATTTGCCGTTACCTTTCGTGCTTATCATGAGAAATATTGTGCCTAATTCGTTAACATGATGTGCATACAGGATAGTCTAGCGATAGCATTACTACACATTCTTGCACTTTATCACGGTATGGCTTTTGTCACACGTTCAAAGATTATTTTGCATGGACCTTTTCTGTTGTGCCTACGTCTTACCACTTCAAGTATAATCCAATTAACAGATAAAACTGGAAAAAACGAGAAGTCATATTGCACATACATCATATTCATGTTATAGTGCACTTCAATTTCAGTGTGTTTTTGGATAGTGTTGATTTCACATTACGATAAGGCACTACGATAAATGCATTCAGTTGGTGATTATTCTGCCAGCAAACTCTTGTGCTCCAGTGAACACATTATTATTTAGTGCAGTTGCTTTGGGATACATGTTAACGTGAGGTCACATCCATTCAGACTCCATTGACACGCACAAGGACATACACAACGCTACATGGGGTTCACTGAATGGACACATGAAAAATCACATAGACTTCATCTCAAACTTAAGAAGATGGAGACATATCTTGACACACAAGACAGAAAAGGAGCAGATGCCGGCGCAGACCATTCATAATCCAGTGACAGGAAACGTTTAACGTCAATTTGGATGCCTTCAACCGCTTCCTGAAAGAGTGACTGGCCACAAAGGGTGGTAACTGGGAGACAGAGCTTCCACTGATTCTGCTAGCACATTGTGCGTCCGCCCAAGAAACGACGAAGAAAGCACCGTTTCAGTTGATGTATGGCAGGAAACCACGACTACTGATACATAACAAAACCTGGCCCCGCCACCAGCAGTCGACTATGACGAGATGGCGGACGGAGCGGAAAGAAGCCATCAACAGTGTAAAACGAAAGCAGAAAGTGGAAGCTGTGAAATCCGAACAGAGGGTAAAGGAGAAGTGTCCTGCATTCGAGATCGGAGATCAAGTCAAAAGTGGAGATAGACGAAACACCGACGGATACGTGCCAGGGTAGCGAAAACTGCTACAAAAGTGGGAAGGACCATACACGGTCACCGCGAGACAGGGTCGCTTATATACTATCAATAATACAAACAAAGAGAAGCGAGTGAACGTCAGCGAGCTCCAGAAATGCATACAGCAAGACAAGCCAACGACAACGCCAGCACCAAGAAGATCAAGCCGACTTCAGTCTAAACTATTTGACGGGGGGACGAGTGTAGTGAGATCTGTCTGTAAGCCAAAATTGTAAACAACAATTTACGTCTATTTTTACGTCCCGAATCGGGGTCATGAGAAAAAACAAGAGCAAAGCCTAACCCTGAGGAACTCAACAATCAATCACAGCAGACTAAGTGTGTGCAAATATGATTCGCAGATATATAGATAACTTTGTAGGCAACGGTCACAAACAGTACAGAATAACCTTCAACAAGAAGAACCAATCAGAAGACGTTCTTTCTCTGCTAAAATAACGAATAATAATGTAGATAAAATCTATAAGTATCTCTTGATTTTTCCAATAAACGATCTGTTGCCTGGACCCTGTCTTCTGTCGTCACAATAGGAACCTTTAAGGTCAATTTGGATGCCTTCAATGTATTCGGGATAGACAACAGCTCTAGGTTAACACTAAGAAACTGAAGGACGAAACTACGAATGGCACCTTCACAACAGTACTCAGGTAAAGGCTGGAGATACCAAGAGACATCGCCAAAGAAACCTGCGTGTGGAGAAACTTTTTGGAAGTGTTGTTGAAGGAAACTTGGTAAAAAAGAAGCGATAAGAGAAGAAATGATTCTAAACGGCCACGCGGTAGGAGAGAATGATGGCGAGACAGTGAAACCTCAAGAAGGTCAATTCATAGAAAACCCACTTGGAACGGTCAACTAACAAGTTTCTGCAGTTGGGTTCCTATTAGCGGAGGCGAAATCTGATTAAATCCCTTGCCACTTGGTTCCGACGCATTCGCGGTCCTGACGACCAGGAAGCAGAACTGGATCCTCTGAAAGAAAACTTCATCCGAAATGGGCACCCACCAAGATTCGTTGACAAGAATATCAAACCAAATGTCCAGAGGAATGAAACTTCACTTGTTTCGAAAAAGATACTTTACATGAATCTGGATTTCGAGGGGGACTTGGCTTGCGATATCCTCAAGAGGAGAATTTCAGCATCTTTGAAAGGAACATTCTTCGCAGCAACGCTGAGAGTAGGGTTCTCCAGTCGTCCATTGATCTGCAGAAGCCTTAAGGGCAAGATCACGCATCTGGCTTTTTCTATATGCATAAATCAGTTCACCTGTCGCTGTGGAGCCAAGTAGTACATTGGTCGTTCGACGCGTTTACTGTCCAAAAGGATTCGAGGGCACTACCCCGCATGGCTGTAAAAGAGTAACAGTGGCTATATAAGGAGTGAGATAGGAGAACATCTCGTCAACACTGACCATTCCATCTCAACAAACGCCTACTTCAAAGTGATCTGCAAAGTGAAGAATAAACTACCAAAGGCAATACGCTTCCGTTTCCTTCGTATTGCTGAAGCCTCACTCGTTCAGTTGGAAAACCAGAGTTCTGTATACAATAGAAAATCATTCAACCACTTCTACTATCATGCCAACGACCGTGTTGACTCATACTGACTTGATGTTTGTGTGCTGGCTTTTTTCTAACTCCTTATAACATCTGTAATTTTTAGAACTCTCATGTAATTGCATATTTTTCTTTGTGTCTATGTGCATGCTAATCGAAACTCACTCAATAAGCTATTCATCTTAATACGTAACTACAATACACTTATTCAGCTTCTCTTATGCGTTGATTGAGATTATTAACTATGTCTTTGACAACACATCACCACTACTCTCTGACCGATCTTCATTCTCACCTTCCTAGTTACAGTTTGATTATTCATCACATTTTTGAAACGTCTTGACAATAATAAATGTAACTAATTTTTATTCTTACCGGACAAACCTAATGTACACACTTACAAAAATAAGTGTATATAATTGCGATTGTACAGGTAAGTGCGCCAGGACATTGAATGGGAAACGACGAGTTGAATGTCTGAGGGTGACTTGGGAGAGATGGTGTGAGGAGGAGATGAGAGCTTATCGGCAATCATGAAGCTAGCTAAACGGAACTGCCGACAAAAAGAATGAAAGTAGTTGTGCTGTTGAAGCCCTATGTTCCGCTTGGAACTTTATCAAATAATAATAAAAGTACGTCATCGAAATATTTCTGAACAGCGAATATGATGTAAACGTTATCTATAAATTAATCGCTAGATAACTAAGACTTTGACTATTAGCGAGTACATGTCAGAGGTTGCATAACACGAAGAAAGCTTTTATATAGAATTAGGTGTAATAGAAAAACGTACAGATGAATGGGGTAGACAACAGGGTTGTTAACGCGACAATACTTATAATCATAATACGAGAACAACAGTCTGTGCAGAATGAAATGGTACCACCATTTAATCCGTTGGCTTCTCATCAGCTGCTTACAGTCCAAAAATTTTATTAAGTTTATGTACAGAAACATGCTTACTCATGCTTACATGCCTGCTCAGAGAGTTCATTTTTGAACCAAAAATCAGAATTGAACTCTTTTTCATATTGAAAATTTTGAAGGGTCTTGCGATGTCCACCTCATGACTTGTATCGAGCAGATGCCTAGCAATAGGACTATTGAAAGCATTTGTTCCCTTGAAATGTAGACATGTTAAGAAAATCGGAGGTGTGCCC